TTGTTTTACTATTAGTTCTTTGAAAAACAGTTCTTTAAATATTTTATTATGTTTTCTTTAATAAAAAAATTAGAAATATTGATAAACAAATAATTTGCTTCATTGTCAAACTGTAGACTATCGTAATTTACAGAACTACAAAGTCGACAAATGAAAATCAGTAATTTTCTACCAGAATCAATACCACAAGTGCATACCGATTCCGGTAAACATCGTGAACGGTAAGCACTATCCGTTAAACAAATTTTTTTTTTTTGTAATCTAAATCTTCTTTTCATTTTAAACTTTAAATTATTCTAAAAATGATAATTAAACGAGAAACGTTTGTTGCTATTAAGTGCCAAAAAAAAGGCATTACAGGTTTTCTGCTTTTAACTGTAAAAAAAAAAGTATACAATCTTGTTAGCTCAACATAGTTAAATTTTAAAATGGAAAAAAACTTTAAATTTGACAAAAAAAAAAGGTTAATCAACTACTGAACAGATATTTTTAAATAAGAGTAACAAGTGTACAGATAACTTTTCTTTGAAGGGATTCTAAAAAGCAACGTCGTAATCGAACAACGTTTACTACGTATCAGTTGCATGAATTAGAACAGGCTTTTGAAAAATGTCACTATCCAGACGTTTATGCTCGAGAAGTTAGTGAACTATGTTGAATTGTTACATTTTAGCTTAATTTTTTCAACAAAATATTTGGAATTAGTTGTTTAATTATTTATATGTTTCTGCTTTTAATCATTAAAAAGTTCTTTTGTTTTGTTTTCTGTTTTGTTTTTTTGCTTTTCTTTTCTTTTTTTTTCATTTTCTTTTTTTGTTTTCTCATAAACTTAAATCATTTTATTAACAATAGCGTATAAAGATATAAAGCAAAAAAAAATCGACAGTAATCAATGTTTTCAATAACACTGTTCTGGGTTTTCTGTTTTTCAGCTGTTGGCCCAAAAAGTGAAGTTACCAGAAGTTCGAGTTCAGGTGAAATTTTTTAAATTAATTTTTACAAAGTATACTTTAAGCTGTTAAAACGAAAAATGCACATAAAACATTTCAGTGTACTATTTATTTTGTAAACTTTTTCAACAACAACATTTCTGTTTTATCTTCTTCAAAAATGAAATTTTTTGCAACTTTTTTTTTCTAATTTTTTGTTTTAGTTTTTATTTTTCTCGCATTAAAAACATTAACTTGTTCACCGGTTAACCAGTTATGATTTAACAGTGGATCAAATAATTCTGAAAAAAAAAACAAGAACCTCTTCTACTGTGTTGAGTTGTTCAACAAAACTTGCCTCTTTTGAAGCTTTCAAAATTAACATTTTTTCTGTCTAAGTTTTTTTTTTCAGCTTCTGGAAAATCTTGTTTATTCATTCTAAGAAGATTTTTTATTTTTTTTTTCTTACTTTTAACAGTTGTAAAACCAGTTTAACAATATTAAATGACTTGAAACTGTAACGGTGAGTCGCTGCAATTTAAAAAGGTTGAACGTTTTTAAAAGTTGACAGAAAAGAAACATTTTGATTAAAAGAGAAAAAAAAATTTTTTGAGAAAAATGTTATTAAAAAATTTTACAAATAGTATTTTTTGAAAAAAATTTTGTTCTAAAAAAAAAAAAAGAACTGTACAACTATTCTTACGCTTGAAATTGTAACTTACGTTTACAAAAATGTTTACTTTGATAATGGAACAGATAGGTGAATTTTTTTGTTCTGTAATTCTTCAAAAAGCTGTTTGCAAAGTTTTTGTAAAAGTAAAACAAAAAGTCTTTACAATATTATCAATGTGTCATATATTGACATTATTGTGTTAATAATAATAATTTTTATTAATGGTGTTAATATATATTTTAATTGTTTGATAAGATTCAGGATTTAAACGGTAAGCTGAACGATGTAAAATATTTATAAAATTAATTTTAAATTTATTTATTTAAATTATCATTAGTTTTTATGACATATAAACACTATTTTTTTTTTTTGGTAGAGCCTAACTACGGAGTTTCAGTCAAGCAAAAGAAGCAGTAAATGTAGAAAAAAATTTGTTCAAAAAAGGAACTGCTTAGTTTTTTTTTTCTTTGTTGCTTTTAACGATTGCTGTACGGTATTTTATGCGATAAAAAAAAATGGTCATTCAAATTAATGCTCCACTTAAGGT